TTTTTTTTTTTTTTTTGAGAGGTTAGGAAGGTGATCCTCTTATTCCATATGTTACACAGGCTGGGCTGGTCTCAAACTCCTTGATTCAAGTAGTCTTACCCCATCAGCCTCTTGATTACAGGAATGTACCCAAACTGCATTATTTGAAAAAGCCTTACCTGCCTCTTCACCTCCCTTTCCCTCAAATCACTTTTTCCACAAGTTTTACCTACCACTTACAAAATACGGATTAATCTGTCCACCTTGTGTTTTGTCATCCAAAACTCTGATCAATACAATGCATGTAACCCAAACTTCATGTCACAAATTCTTATTCTGATTTTTATATCCTTGTGCATTTTATTGAAACTAAAGAATAGTTTTCCAGTTCATTTAACCTCAGCATTAATTCAGTAAATTCATTGATCATCAGAAGTAACCATGTAAGAGACTATTTTCTGAGAAGGAATGTATAAATCATACGAAGAAAAAAGCAATAGCTGCTCTGGGTTATAAACAATAGTTAGGGTAGGATTTGGAGCTATAGGTAAAACAAGATTGGCTGAAGGTGAGAGTAAATAGGGGCTCATTTTCACATTCCCTGTGTGTGTGTGAAATGGTCCATATTAAAGATTTTTGGGTGTTTATTTTTAACAAGAAGAGGGCAAAGACAAATCATTTGGTCTAAGAGCAGTACAGTAGTAGGGTAGACAGATGGAATTCCAAGTGCAAATAAGTCATCCATTATTTCATTTTATTCAACTAACATTTAATGCCACCTGTATGCCAAGCCTTGAGAAAAGCATTACCAGGCACATGTACCAGTGGGTGTAAGGCCCCCAAGAGGCAGGAGTTTCCACATAGTACCCTCCTTTCAGAGGAGCATTATGATTCTGTGGCAGTTGATAATAAAAGAAGGCAGCTTGGGGCAGTAAAGGAGCTAAAGGGAAAAAAAAAGGTTAAGATTTCTAAGTTAAAGCAAAATAATCCTCAGAGTGAAAAACATTTGAGGGCTATAAATGTGGGTTTGGGACCAAGTTCATGTTTTCTTTGTCTCTGAACAATTTTAAGTGAGAAAACTAAAGGTTATACAATAGTAGGCCAAAGTAGGCCGATAGTAGGAAAGAGGGCATTCACTGAGAAATATTTATTACTTTTCTTTATACTTCTGATCTTTAATGGTATTTGTGTAAATAGCACTGTTAAGCAGGTTCAGATGGGTAGAGTTTGCTCTAATTAAAGGAAAAATTATCTTGAGAAATGCCTATAGAAAAGAGAAGTGAAGCAGAAATACTCGAGATTTTGAGGAGTCCCAGTTGTGCTCCCATACCTGAGAGGGGCCAATTTTAAAAAGTGAATCTTAGTAAAATTTTTTTTGCCTCTAAGAATAACTAATCTTCATAGCCATGCAGCTACCAGTGATTGAATGTTGCTTGAGTTATGTATTTTGTTTACTTTCTTGGCTTTTACTTCTTTCTGTGTCCTAATTTTTTTTTTTTTTTTTTTTTTGACTGTCATCATTTTTGTCAGTCTCTGTAGTTTCTTTTTCCTTCGTGTCCCTAGAGTTGCCAGCAGCACCTGTAGCTTTTTGCCAGAAAAGGACTGATTCAGGCCACAGTAATGAAATGATAAAATAGCAACAGTTTTCTTCTGGGAACTGTTAAATTTGTCCCTAATGAGATTAGAGAATTAGAATTTGGGAAGAGGAACAAAATGGAAATTCTTTTCTTAGGACTTTATCTAGCTCTGTGATTCTAAAATACTCATTGGGAGAAACAAAGTTAATTTTTAGCACAAATAATGGTTTTGTGACATTAACTTAGGGTTTCTGTGTTAATAGAGGGGGCAGCTACTCTTGGGTGATAGCTAGAGTCCTCTCCCTTTCTCTAAATGATTCCTGTGGTGGTGTCTCTTTTCTGTGTCAGTTCTGTCATTTTTTCCAATGTCAAAAAAATCCTGGGGAAGTAAAATTTTGTCATTTTTTAAATCACCATAAGCATTCAGTTGGTAATTTGAGAAAAGAAAATAGAGGAATATTTTAACAACTAGGAAAGTTTCTTTTAAGCTATTACGAGTATCACATAGAAATTACTGTAAGTTTTTTTTATATTATGAGACAAAGTACGGATTATAACTAAGATCAACAACAGTTAGGGAGTTATATTATTAGTCTTTTGGGATATTGACTCATTGAACTTTGTACTAAAGACAACATTCAGCAAACATTATTGAGCATGTACTTTGCAAAGCAATGTTGTAGCTCATTTTAAAGTGGCTGTTAGCTAAGAAGTAAATTGCTATAGCTTCTTACATAGGGAATATTTTCTCAGTCCCATGGCAAATAATGCATCTAAAAGAAATACCACAAATCAAGCTGAAAATCACAGCAAAGTTGCAGCCCTGCTTGCCACAGGGCAATACAACTAACCTGCACTACAATTCAAGAGAAATCGACACAGAATGTGTATTTTTAAAACATTCAGCCAGGCTTGATGGCGCAAGCCAGCAATGGTGGCACATGCCCGTACTCCAAGCACTTGGTAGGTTGAGACAAGAGGATCAACGTTCAGGGCCAGGCTGCGGTTTGTAGTAAGATCCTGTCTCAAATAAATAATAAATTAATTAATTTAAAAATCCTTGAGGGGTGTGGTGGTGTGCCCCAGTAATCCCCGCACTCAGGAGGCTGAGGCAGGTGAGTCACAAATTTGAGGACAACCTGGACTACATAGTAACGTGAAGGCTAAGCTGTACTGCACAGAGAAACACTGTCTCTGAAAAAAAATTCTGATAAGGTTAAAGATTTGAAGCTCCTGTTAAGGGACTTACTTTCTTATTCATGAAGTACCGGGAAAAGTGTAGTGTTAATGCTTTTTTTTAGAAGGTAATAGCAAAGATAAATGGAAATATGTGGGAAGAAAAACAGCCTAAGTTACTTTATAAAGAAAAGTACTACAGTTGTAAATAAAAGCCACACAGCATGCTAATTAGAAACAATTGATAAAAATTAAATTGTTAAATAAACTAGAAGACCAAGATAAAAGGAGTTAAGTTTGAGAGTAGTGATTCCTTTTTCTAGTAGTTTTTTAAAATTCAGTTCCAATTTTATGTAAGGCAGTAGTTGGTATGGTGATTGATCACATTAGTGAAATAAGAAATTTGAATAGTGCCAATAAGCCATATGAATAATTATTCATTACAAATTTTTATTTGGCGTTGGAATGTGTTTTTTCTATTTATCTCTCTAGGGCTTTATTTGATACTCTGGGAACTTACTTCAGAAGCTGTGAAGATCTGACTTAGGAAGTGCTGGGCAGTGGTCCAGTATGTTTGTCCTGACCCCTGTTCACCTTTTTCCCACAGCCCACTTCATGCTGGGAATAGACAACTCTCCTCTGAGGCTGAGGCTAAGCAGATTATGCAGAGCTTGCTTCTCTCCATTATTGCCTGGACCTGGGGTAGTGGTTAAGCACTTGGGTTTCTAAAGATTCCTTGACAAGCTGCACCAAAAGAATAAACAAATGGCCTGTTAGTCAAACAAATTTATTATTATCATTATTATTATTATTATCATGGGAAAGGATAATATTAAATTTAAAATGAAGTTTGTAGAGAATTAAATAGTCATCCACTTGTGGATAATGGAAATTTAGAATTTAATAAGTGAGGATATCAACTGTATATATTAATATTTTATACGAAATTAATATATTCGGATTTTTATTGTAACTAGCACTTTGAAATTTTAAAAAACACTTTGAATGATTTTGAAATCTAGTCTCTTGCAGTGTTTAGCATTTGGTGGTTCTGTCCCCAGCAAAACAACAAAAAAAAATGAGAAAAGAGTCACTTTGTTTTATGTGTCCCCTTTTCTTTCTCTTCAGATACAGTTTTTAGTTGTGTTTTATGCAGTTGTTGCCATTCAGTTGGGGTCATTTATAACATTGTAAAACCACCGAAGGACCTTGTTCTTTAAATGAACTTTGATACCATTTCGTTAACATACTCACCTAATTTTTTTCATCTCATTTGTAATACAGATTTTTATTTTTCAGTGGTTTTGCTTTTTCTTTTAACCAGTAAATTTTTGCAGGCTCATTTGTTATTTTAAGACTATTTATGAACACTTTAAAAAAGAGTATTAAGCCTTATTTTTCCTTCTCTTAGAGAAAATAACCCATTTCCCTCTTCTAGCTTGATTTAGCTGCCATCCCTCAATAGAGAGTATACAGCTGCTGTAAGGGCTGGAGAAAGTCTTAGCAAAAGCCTATTACTACTCCAGTGTGTTTTGGTCATTTTATGAACTTTAAAAAGTCTTCGACTGTTAGGCAGTTCGATATTCAAAAATTGGATTTCCTGAGCATTTGTGTTAGATTATTAATATATATTTTGGTTTTGATAATTACTCTTTTCCTTCCCTGCTGTAGTTGAATGGATCGCAGCAGTTACCATCGCTGCAGGGACAGCTGTAATTGGATACCTAGCTTACAAAAGATTCTATGTTAAAGATCATCGCGGTAAATCTATGGTAAACCTTCACATCCAGAAAGACAACCCTAAAGTAGTACATGCTTTTGACATGGAGGATTTGGGAGATAAAGCTGTGTACTGCCGTTGTTGGAGGTCTAAAAAGGTGAGGAAAACAACTGGTTCACACAATGCCATTTTTAATGTAATATATCTTTTTTATACCATTTTATCAAATTTTATTTTCAGATGTTGTTAAGGTATCCCTTTTTATTACTTTCCGATTCTGTTAAGAAATACATTTACTAAAAGCTCCATGCAGTAAAATTACATCATCCCCTCCATTGAGTTCAGGTAAATTTAACTATGTTCTTCTCCAAAGGAGATACAAGAATATCTAATTTACTCTTAGGATTTCCTCCTCAAGTGGATTTTAGCCTCTGCTATCCAAGTATCCCAGGATGTGGGAATGCCTGAAAACAAAGAGAAACAAAGGATGTCAAGTCTTTTTTTTTTTTTCTTTCAAACTCTGTACTAGGACAATTTTTAGAAATCTCAAAAGAAACTTGGTAACAGTGACCCTTACATTAATTACTGGCAAACATCACAAGCTACCTTTCAGCTAGAGCTCCTATACTTAAATAACTAACTTAAGATCTTTAAAAATATTTCTTTTATAAGTATTATATTTTACAAAGTTTCTTGTGAATGTATCACCTATGATACCTTTAGACATGGGGTGGGGGGATGATCTCAGATGTCAGAGTCCTCCCCCAAGGCTCAACTTGAAAGGACTTATATACTGAGTTCAGAATGACTGATGTGTTGTGAAATGTTTTGTAAAGACTGTGTATGCTGCCACTAATAACATTCCGATAAACTGGATTGCACAAGAAATAATACTAATATGTTCCTTAAAAAATAATGAAATGCTATATCTGGTCTAGGGTTTAACTCAGTGGTAGAATGCTTGCCTCGCATGCTTGATACCATAGGGTAAATCCCCAGCTCTGAAAAAAAAAACGGTCAGCTTCTGAAAACAGTACACCAGGGCCTCTTTCCATAGCGGAGATCCATTTTGGTGCGTCAAGTATAACATATATGGATGAAGCTAGGTATTAAAAAGTGTATTTCACTAAACCATTTATCTCCATATGATTAATGTTGTCCATTCTGGTGATGTAGAGCTTAGATTATGTTCAAAGACTGCTTGATGAGTGTATGGAATACAAACCAAAATTTGTAGAGATGTTACTACAAATACACCTTAAGAAGAACATTGTTCATTTCAAATGTGAGATTGTTATTGTAACTACTCATGGAATCACATTCGGTATACTAAACTTGGTTTGTTTTTATGAAAAGTGTCCCTATAGTAAGCTTTATTCTCTTGTTGCTCACCAGAAACAAAACAATGTATCTAGAAAGTGTAGAACTTGTGCCAGAGTATCACATAGTTCACTTACTACTTCATACAGCTTTTGTTTGTAGACAGTTTGGTTCACAAACAGAAGCATTTGGCAAAATTTTGTTTTTGTTTGCAAACTCTGCATCAAGGGACAGATACAACTGTGGCCGTCTTTCCTACATAAACACAAACGTGGCCGTCTTTTTGAAAATTGTGAAATTCGTGAACCGAGGTATCACTGTGTGTATATACTGTGTATGGAAGAAGTTAAACAATAATAATAGATGTCCTGGATGTATACTAAGTTTAGTACAAGTGTTTTAGATAAAAGGAAGAGTTTAAATCATGGACTAGAATTTTCTGGGAAGGCTTAGTAATAATATTTGAGAGAGAAATTGCCCCTGAGAAGATTGGTGGCATATAAATAAACTGTATTAGGGACCCTTTCTCAGAAACAAAAAAAAAATTCGAATGAAGAAAAGTATAATAGATGAAGGCTGTAGTCTGCTCCTTGCATCAGTTCCTTTTTCTCAAAGAGTACATCTAAATTGAGAGTCTGGAGCGCCAGGGTGAGAATTTGTACTTCCAGACATGGGCAAGGGGGACCTTGGAGGAATATTAGACATAAAGTTATGATCAGATACCAGAGTACCAGCTCTGAAATACAGAGAAATATGAAGGAAAAAAACCCACAAAAAATTTTGAGGAAGAATCAGCCAAATTGGAAACTTACAGAGAAAAACTGAAGGATCCAGGCATATGGATATGAAAAGCCAATTTCCTAGGACAGTGATAACAGTGAGTTCCGAAGAATGAATCTGAGGTGACAGTTCAACCCAGACGCACAGTGGATGAGCAAAGCGTGGGGTAAAGCTGAGGCCTCAAGGCTGCAGATAGAGATCAACTGATGAGTCAAGCGCAGGAGTGCAACTGATCTCTGCGAAGATAAAAATCAAGAGCTATGTCTGAAATCTGGGAGAGTTTTCTACATTGGGGAAAACGTTACAGGGGTCAGGGGAGTGGGATGGGCCAAAGAGGTTAGAATAGAGCTAAAAATATTATGGGTTTAAAGTGTGAAAGAAAAAATTTTCAGAGGCTTGGTACTAAACATTGGCCCCTGCAAAGACAACTACATAGACTATTTTAAACAAGTAGGCAGTTGATCTTTTGGTGTCATTTCAACAGAAAAATTGGAATTAAAGCTGCGTGCCCATGCAGGTGATAATGTGAATTACTAATAAAGAAATGCAGAACTTCAGTAAGTACAGTGAATGGACAGAAAACAGTAAGGTAACTGCGTCAGTGAACTGTGAGGTGTGACTTTGAGATCAGGTGAAGAATGTTTCCTTTGATTGGTTTTCCCAGAGGGTGAAGTGTCCAATAAAGTGAACCTGGACTTCGATCTCAAGTATTTCAGGAAGAACCACAAATGGACAAGAGTTAGTTGTTTACATATTTATTAGATGTTTTAATTCAACAAAACATTCCAGGATTGTTCTTTAATTTTACAGTTCAGATTGTCCAGATGGTTAGACTAGGGACAGCCATTTCTACAAGTAGATTTTAAGAAAAGGAATGTCAAACCAGTTATTTTCATTTTCATTTGTCTTTTTTTGCTGTTGGAAGGTCTTTTATGCCATTTAGTGATCATCTTTGCATCTAGGATTTAGCAGTTCAAATTTTCACTAAATTTTGGGCATTTATTATACCTGCAGGACTCAATTAAGGATTGATTTGGAATATTACTCAAGTGAATGAATGTTCTTATTCTTCAGACACCTTTGGAAACTCCCCACATTCCTGAGGTTCCTAAGGTTATCACAGGAGCTGCCAGGTCACACACTTCCTTGGCAATTCACAAAAGACATAAAATTAATATTTTTGGCTAAATGTTCTGTTGAGGTAATGTTCAATTATTTTCAGCTTATTCAAATCAGTTGTTTGTACTTATAACAAAATCTAAACACTTACATGTTATATAAACTTTGTTCACTTCCAAATAATTTTTTAATGGTTCTGGGGATTGAACCCAGGGCCTTGCAGTGATACACTAGCGGTCTACCCCTGGCTACATCCCTGGACCTTTTTTTGAATTTTTGAGACAGAGTCTCACTAAGTTGCCCAAACTGGCCTCAAATTTGGGGAATCCTCCTGTATTAGCCTCTAAGTAGCTGGACATAAGCCATCCAGCCCAGCTTCTAATTCATTGAGGTACAGACACCCATGCCTAATGAACTAGAGCTCCTGGTAACATAATTTGCACTTGTTAACATACCCCACTCCTCCTCTCCCAGGTGTAGTACAGCCTTTGCTGTTTCAGAAACTGGCCTATTTGATACTGTTTCACTAAAGAGTGGTCCAAATTTAAATTGAGTGGAAAAAATCCAACAGTGGAAATGATTAAAGTGCCTTCCAGAAAAGGTGGTATTTGACACAGTTGTGTCTAGAAAGAAGGTGGAAGAGAAGGAGAATAAGCATATTTATGAAACTCAGCTTTAAATTGGAAGAGTCTTTCAAAATAAAAAAAGCATGCCAGATGTGGTGCACACCTGTAATCCCAGCACTTGGGAGGCTGAAGCAGGAGGATCACCACTAGTTTGAGGCCAGCCTGGGCTACATAGTGAGGTAAGGACCAACCTGGACTACAGAGCTAAAACTCTGTCTCAAAAAAAAAAAATTAAAAACAATAAAATAACTTCAGTGTAAGAAGGAAGAGCCTTGCTACATTCCCATCTCCCCACCTACCTCAGAGGATATGTAGAATTTTATCTTACAGTTGCTTTTGAGTATTTAGTGATGGTGGTGGTGGTAAGCTTGCTTCTGTTTTGGTAGAAAGGAGAGAGACAGAGAATGAATCTAGCCTATTAATGGCATAGAAGTGACTTTTATCCAGACTCTGTTTCTTCATAGGAATTATTTTTCAACTGCTGATTAGATTCCTTGGAAATTCATGTAAGGATGGTCTTAGAGAATCATAACTTTTATTTCTGCCTTTTAAAATTCATTATCCTTTTACTAAGTATGTAAGACTGGTATAAAATGTCATATTGTTCTCTATGATAGTCTCAGAGATTTCATTACCTTAGTTTTCTTTCTCAACAAAAGCAATCATATTTCTCAGTTTAGTTTATGGTAATGAGCCAAAATGACCCCAGACAACTTTCTTGGAACAGAACATCAAAACCATTAAATGTACAAAGTTTACGCAAGACTGAAAAAAAAAAGGAACAAAGTTTATAGAACAAAAATCATGTGTTGGTTTTTTTAAAATTGTTTTGGGTGGAAGAGATAGCTCAAGGAGGAGCATTTATTTTGAGTCACTGTGAAAACAACTTGAGATGTAGGGGTCATTCAGTAAACAAATTTTGTGGTTTTTTATGAAGAGATTTAACATATTACTGGCTTTCCAGGTGAGCAACAAGGGCCTGTGGTATTTTTCTATTAAACTTTTATTCCAGCCTCTTCTTACCCTTGTGTCTCCAGTTTTAAAGATTTCTAATTTTCAAGTTGGGTTAACACAAAAGGATATTTTCTGGACTTGCAAGAACTTCAGCTAATTTGACTCGGAAACCCTACTTCAAGATTTGTTAAATGAACACTAGCATATTACAACAAATTTTATAGAATTTGATAAGAAAAAAAATTAAATTTTGTTTAAATTACTCATTTTGGCTCTTGATTGAAAGGTGTTTTTAGTTTTATTAATTTAAAAAGGCAAATCAGCAATGAATAAATATAATCACATGAAGTTTAGAACAAGATTCCAATTTAGGGCTGGGGATGTAGCTCAGTGGTAGAGTGTTTGCCTAGCTTGCACAAGGCCCTGAGTTCAATCCTTAGTAACATTTGTGCGCACGTGCGCGCACACACACGTTCTAATTTAAGGTATAAATCCTAGGGTGAAGTCATTGGTGGCGAACCTGTGGCACATGCATTGTTTTCCTTTTAAGACAAAAGATGTTAATGTATGGGTTGTTTTTTTTTCTAAAGGAGAACCTCTTATTCAGGCTTAATTGCATTGTTGGCACTTTGTGATAAATAAGTAGGTTTGGGGTTGCAGTTTGGGTACCCAGTCTCTAAAAGGTTCGCCATCACTGGAGTAAGTGGTATAAAAAGTCACATTAGAGGATATCTGTGTCGTAAGGCCCCAAGTTGCACCCTCAGCACTGCAAAAAAGAAAGTAACCTGTGTCAATGAACCTCTCAAATGATTTGTAATACTTAGTTTATATTTAAAATTTCCTTTTTTTATAATTTAATGTATCAAAGTTAATGCCTATGATCTATTACTCACTAGTTTTCAAAGAAGTATTTTTCTTTGCTTTTAAGAATGTGAAGAAACAGGCTGATTTCAGTCTTTAAGCAGAAGAAGATAATTAAAGTATAATTTTAGACATTATATCTTAATATTTAAAAGACTGTATTTCTCTATGCATTTCTCTCCTGTCTTGATTCTACGGTATTTGTGCAGGAAAATAATGTGCAAAATTATACTAGGTTTACTAGAAATTAAAAAAATAAAAACTAAGTGCCATTTCAGTAGGTTTTTTTCATTTTTCAGGCTAGCCACAGTGAAGAACACCTGTAATCATGGCTCCTTAGAAGGCTAAAGCAGGAGGATCTCAAGTTCAAGGCCAGCGTGGGCAACTTAGCTAGACCCTATATTAAAAATTTAAAACTGCAGGGGATATAGCTTAGTGGTAGAGTGTCCCTGGATTTGAGCTGCATTGCCACAAAGAAATGTTACATTTTTCAGAAATGCATTTTATAACCCGTGTGGGTAAAGCTGTAGAGTGCGGTGTGTTGTATGTTCATGTTATTTATAAAAATGAAGTTTATTTACAGTGTAAACTTTTATTCCCACTATGAAGTCATGTGTTTATGAAACATACTGCATTTGGAAATGATGTACTTTGCTGTGGGATACATTTTAGTTTGGTTTTTTTGACCGCTTTGCTCATCTATCTCTTATCTAAAAAAAGAAAAGGATAAGCTTTTTGTACGTAAAATTTACCCTTCCATCTACTGCTGGGTAAAATTTGTATCTAGAAGTACAATCTGATACTTTGAGATATTCTGTAATTTTTAATTACATTAGTGCCTTTTAGAATTGTGTACAGACAGAAAAATTGAGAGGATCTCATGTGAGCTAGATATTATTTTCATAACTTCTTTTTTTTTTTTTTTTTTTTTTTTTGGTACTGGGGATCAAACTCAACCTTGTGCTTGGCAGGCAGGTGCTTGTGCCGCTGAGCTACATCCCCGGTCCCGTAGCTAAGTATTATTTTAACCTCAGAATAAAGGGTTCTGAGTATCATAGCTTACAAGGATATATAGATCCTCAAAATTGAGGTATCTAAAATTATAGTCCTTCACTTTAATGAGGTGATTATTACCCTGAAGTACAATATTCCGTTTCCATTACTTTATTCCTCTACATAGGTTCTTTCAATGCTACAGTACCTTGTACCAAACTGAAACTATCTGTGTAGGTACATTGAAAACATCAAGAATAGTACAAAGATGCTAGTTCTCATGGCATAGAAATAAAATGTGTAAATACAGAAGGAAAGAAATGAAGGCTTTACTAATAATTGCACCTCCTAAATGTAAAATACTAAGGCGTCATATGAAACATTATTGAATTCTTACAGTTTAGCAATAAGGAGGTTATATTTGCAAAAACCCAGGATATCTAGAGAGTATGAATAGTCAGACATGAAAGAAAATATAACCATAAGAAAGATAAAGTAACAGCAGAAGTGATCTTACCAGAATATCACTGAGACTTGAAGATGAAATAAGATGTGGCAAAAGAAGACAAATAAGATATGACAAAAAAAATTCTCAAGCTTGTAAAGTTAGCAAAAATAATGAAGGAAAACCGGCCAATTTTAGACACAGTTATCCCCCTGTGGTAGGCTGATCAATGTGATCACAAAGAACCTATAAATAAGCACTTGCATAATGAAATTATTTTGATAGAATTATGAATAAAGGTATAACAATTTGAAAAGCAGCAGGCTCTAGGGATGCAGTAGGATGTATCTTAGAAGAGAATTTCACAAAGTATGCTCTACAGAATGCTATGGTAATAGTTATCAAAGTTTAAAGTATGCATAGTCAACTTAAAAAATTCTGGATTAAACTAGTATTTTTTTACAGGCCGACTTCTTTACAAACGTATGGTATTCATTTAAACAGTGAAACTAAAACAGGATATCAGCTTCTTTGAAACACACTGGGAAACACTGTTAGAAATTTAGTTCTCCTTTCTTTCCTCCCACAGGACCCCAAAATGTCACTTATGCATAAAATGTGAAATTATGGAAAGAATGAAAATTATAAATATACATTAATCACATTTCTAAAACAAAAAGTCTCCATGAACCATGTTAAAAAGGGAAATACTGGTATAATTTTATAAAAGTAAAGAAATTAAACATATTAAAAATAAAACAAAAAGACGTGGAGAAAAGATTACTGCAAGGATGATCAACATAAGAATCATTCAGAAATGATTATAAACAAATGAATTTAAAAATCCTACAAATAGGGTTGTAGGTAAAGCTCAGGGACATGAAGCTCTGGGTTCAATCCCCAGCACCCAAAAAAAACCTTAACAGAATAAATAGGCAACGGACATAGTTCATTAGAAAACCATTTAGTCTACAGATGTGGAAAAGTTTTTCAATATCCATCATCAGATACAACAGTAAAATTGAAATAATGATCTGCATATTATCCTCAGATGGATTTCTGCCTCCTTTTTAGCCTATGTATTTTATATAAGCTCTTTAAGAAAGCCTATAAGGTACCCAAGAAAAGTCACTTTAAGTTACTATACACGCCGGGGATATAGCTCAGCGGCATAAGCCCCTGCCTGGCAAGCACAAGGTCCTGAGTTTGATTCCTGGTACCAAAGAAAAAAAAAAGTTACGATACATGTAAATTAAGCATCTCTCCCCACTCTGCCAAACATGACATTGCTTTGGGCATTAAACATTTCACATTCTCTCTTTTTCTAGTTCCCATTCTGTGACGGGTCTCACACAAAACACAATGAAGAGACTGGGGACAACGTGGGACCTCTGATCATCAAGAAAAAAGAAACTTAATTGGACGGTTTTGACGCTACAAGTCAACTCGTTGTGATGTTGCCTGATGGCTTAATCAGAGTGGCTAGCACTTCTGTCTCACTCCCCTCCCCTGGATTCTAGCTGTGGTGTGTTGCAGACTTCAGCTTTCACGTTCATGGCATTTGCCTTACTTGTTGAAACATCGTGGTGCACATTTGTTTAAACAGGAAAAAAAAGAGGAAAAATCAATTTCATGGCTTGTGGGTTATTTTAGTATTGACAGGATCCATTTCTTTACATTTAAAATAATGGTATTAGAATATAGCTGTATCTTGAAGTTAACATTAAATTATTCTCAAAATCATGTATATGCAGATCTTACTTGTTTCAAAGAAAAACAGTTCCCTTTTCATGTTACTTCGTTAACCTAGAAGAAAAATAGGGTATGATTACTCTACATTAATTTCTTAACACAATCTAAGAAAAACCTGTTAGGACCTTGCTTTTCGTCTTGCAATGGTAATGACAGTAAGAAAATGTGGTTTCTGTGTTTTCAAAGTTTTCAGTCAGAATAGACTGTGAGTGTTTATTTTATTATAAATCATCCAGGTCAGTAATAAAGGGGAAGCAACTTCGTGTTCATCTTCATGGATGTTAAATTGATCGGTTCAGGAACCAGTAGTGGAACTTTAGATCACAGTGATGATAGATTCCAAAGTGACCACGAAGAGTGTCTTTAGATGTAATTTCCAGGATGCTGGCCCAAGGAGCGGTCAGCCCTCCAAGCTGAGGACGTGGAAAGAGTGAGACGGAACCCATGTGCAGTCCGACTGCAAGGCCACATGTCTATGACAGAAACAGTAGTCACAAGGTTTGCTCGAAGGCTTGAGAAAAAGTTTTATTTTCCACTCTGGATAATCAAACACATGACATATCCTAGTAAAGAAACTATTGTGGGAATTTAAAAATAAAAGAGATCTTTTAAATGATACAATACCTTTCCTGAAAAGGAAAAATTTGAAGACAAGTGCATATGTGATATTCTTCACTCCACAGAAGCAGTGCATTCATTACTGATTGTAAAAAAGAAAAGTAGGAAAACTAAAAATAATTAGATGTAGTAAAAGAATTAAGACAGGAATAGTTAATATTTTACTTAGGTTTTAGAGTTTTATGGATGAGAAGGAACAGTCATGACAAAATAATTTGGGCAAACATTTTGACTGATGGAACAGATAAACATTCCTTTAGTACACTTGAATTCTCGGTAGTAGTTAATCACAAGATTCCACCTACTACAGTCCAGTTGCCATGGGTGTTTCAACAATCAAACCAGATGGGAGTATCTGCATTATATGTTTACTCCTTGCTTTCTGTTCTGTTTTGTTTGTTCGTGCTCGGATTGACCCCTGAGCTTCATACATGCCAGGCAAGCACTTTACCACAGAGCCCCCAATCGCGGATATTTTTAAAGTTACAGTTTAATGTATTAAATACATAAAGGTTGATGCTAAAATTATGTACACTAGTTTTGAGTAGCCTGAGACTGACCTGGGCATGTCTTTTAAGGAATATCTTGAGTACAAAATCCAAACTGCTACAGTCTTCCTTCTTCACTTAGGTGAGAATTTTTCCCTGCCAGCCCCCAGCTTTTTAAGTAATTATAAACGATCAGCCAAAGAGATCATCATAGTTTTAAAAGTTATCTGTTTAAAAAAAATCTACAAACCTCTAAAGTTTCTGATAAAGGGACATCATGTTACAGCATACAATAAACTTTAATTTAAAATCATATTGTTACACTTTTCTAGTTAGTGGTAGGGGAACACCTAGTATCTGTTTTCAGAACTATTTTTTCAAAGGTAGAACTATATGAGGCTATGAATGGGGGTATATGATGAAATCAGAAGTGATTACTACAATAAAAGAGATTGCAATAGTTTACTTGATCTTAACCAAAAGGCCAAGAAGCGATAAGATCTCAATATTTCAAAATGATTAGGTAATTGTAGTTTCAGGATCATGTTAAAATTGTGTCACATGCTTTTGAACCAATTTGCTGTATGACATTAAAACATTTTTATATTAACCAAAAAATTAAATGAGTATGGTTAACGAGATCTTTTACACAAAAATTGTGTGTAAGCAGCATACCATGTTGTACACCTGTAATCCCCCATCACTTTGGGAGTGTGAAAGAACAGCAAGTTTGAACCCAGCTTGGACAGCTTAGCAACTTAGGCAGACCCTGCCTCAAAATCAAAATTTCTGAAATACGGCTGGGACTATAAGTCAGTGCAAAGACTGGGTTCAGTCTGCAGTACCACAAAAGTTAAATTGTGTGCAATTTCTGTCTAGTTAAATACCTTAAGACTTCATATTGCCTGTTTATTTGATTATCAGACAGATGGGGCCCCCAGCAGTTTTTCTGTGTATCATTTATGTTTCCAGTATATCTGCAGCAAGATTTTATGCTAGAAGTTTCTTAGGTAGACAGTCATGATTTAGAGTCACATCCATCTATGTGTGAAACACAGTTGTCAGCCATCTCTAGACCGTGTAATTGAGTTATGAAGCATGTTGAAGAATTAGGAGCTCACAGATCAGATTGTATAATTTAGGGCACAAATTATATAATTATGGTAATTTGGTTTGGGGTTATTTTACTTTATAAACTATGGCACCTATACTATGTATATCAATTATTCTATAAAGTAGATGAAATTATTTTATTTTGCATTCATTATGAAGGTGTTTGGTTTGTTTGAAGATAAATATTGACTAAGGTTCCTGATTAGCAACATGTGTAGTGCCTGAGTATCTATGAAGGTGTATTCTACTAGCTGGTGATGCAGGCCAGAAGCTGTTCTTTGGTTTGTTTTTGTGGTTGTTTAGCTTCGCTTGTTTTTGCAAAACCACTCACCTCGCAGCTTTTTAAATTGAGGCATCTGAGCTCAATGGTATTTTAAGCACTTGTCCCCAAATTCTAGGACAAGATTTAAATTTTCTGCTATCCTGTGGGGAGGGCTAATAAATTTGATTTTTTTTTTTTTTTTTTTTTTGGTGCTAGAGTGGAATCCAGAGCTTTAGCATGCTAGGTAAGCAACAGAGCTGCATCCCCAGTCCCCCCACCTTTTTCTTTTTTTGAGACAGGGCCTTACTGTGCATTTCAAACTGACCTTAAACTGGCCGTGTAGACCAGGCTGGCCTTGAACTTGCAGGCAATTTACCTCAGCCTCCCAGCTGGGATTCCAGGCATATGTCACTACACCTGGCTTGAATTCAGTTTTTAAAAATGATTCTAATTTGAAGTACTCTTTAGTCAATGAAATATTGATGTTACATTTGCTTTAAATATCTTAGCAAAAGAAGAAGTTGGTAGCCCTATATTTAACTGCCCCATGAATTCTACAAGCCTAGGTATCACTAAGCCAAGGTTTTTCTCTGGTACCGGGAACCGAACTCACGACCTTGCGCTTGCCAGGCAGGCGCTTTTGCCGCTGAGCTAAATCCCCAGCCCCCATCACTAAGCCAAGGACTAAGGTCCTGTCTAGTGTCATTTAAGGCCTGAGAAATGTCATTTTATTAAAGTATTAAAATTACTTTATTGATTTCAATAGTTTGTATATGTGAAATTGTTCATATCTGATAACACAATATGGGAGGCTTCATGGAAAGTAATTTTTAAAAAGTAGTTTTTACCTCCATTCACTTTACCACCCTGGATCCAAGCCAAGGACAATACCAATCTGTCCTAATCGCTTCTCAACCTATAACTAAATGATTATATAGTGTGAAGATTCACAATGAATGACTGCTGCCTGTGCATCAGTTTTTCTTTTTTTTTTTTGTTTTTTGTTTTTGTTTTTCTCCAGTACTGGGAACCGAACTCACAACCTTGCGCTTGCCAGGCAGGCGCTTTGCCGCTGAGCTAAATCCCCAGCCCCTGCATCAGTTTTTCTTGAGAAAAGGCTGTATTTTATGGGTTTAAGAAAGTTGGTGGGTGAAGTGGTAGAGCGCTTGCTTAGCATGGATAGCATTTGGTTCGATTTCCAGAACCACAGAAAAAAAGTTTCATAAAGGAATTGCATAGACTAACTGAACTTGCCAAGAATCATGCTAAATGAGAAAGGCTAGGAATATTTTCCATCAGTAAATCATTGAAAAAATATAGCTAAAGTTTATTAAATTAAAAGTGTTGCTATGGTGTTATCCTTGATGTATCTGAACAACAAAAGCAATTCAGTCTCAAAATGGATTTGATTTGCCAACCTTATAATGTCTGCCAGACATTGTGGAAATATTTTCTTTTTGTAGTACCTGTATCTTTTAGGGTGAAACACTTCTAGTTCTTCCAACATATCCTAAAAAGTAGCCAGGAAGTAGCCAGGCATGAGGACACACACCTGTAATCCCAGAACTCGGGAAGCTGAGGCAGGAGGATCGCTGTGAGTTTGAGGCCAGCCTAGATTGCAAAGTGAGTTAAAGGCCAGCCTGAACTACATAGTAAAACCTTGTCTCAAAAAGACAATTAAAGAAAAGGCAATTTCTATCAAGACCTCAGTCTTCAGGTATGAGATTGTTTTCATTTATGTACCGAATTATACAGATTACCAGCTTCATTTTTCATTTAAAATAATTTTGAACATGGCCCACATATCTACATACTCATTCCTGGGAATAATTCCTGTCAACATTGTTCCTTACTGGGTTAGACAGTGGCTCATCTGTGCAAGATGTGTGAGTGATGATGTCCCTTAGCTAGGGACACAGGTAAGTCTATTACACTTTATTTCAAACTTTCCAGCTATGAAAGGTAAAGTTTCATTTACGAAATCTATCCCCATAATAGTACTTTTTCCTAAACTTGCCCTTGGTGTTTGTTCTGACCTAGGGCCTTGCTAAATTGCTCAGGCTGGGCTCAAGCATATGGTCTTCCTGCCTCATCATCCTCCCTACATGCCAGGGTCGCACACTTGTGTCACTACACCTGGCTCTAGGCTTGTTTTCCCCTTAAGCTTTCTTAATGAGAGTTCCCTTTCCTTCTGACAATAAAATTCTCAGCCTTCACCTTACCAGCACTATTTAGTATCCTTCATGTGAACATGTTTGTATTTCTTCACTTTGCAGCCTTCCAACAAGGAGCATTTTGATCATCACTTAAAGCAACCTCATCCCTTTTCTTCTTAATCCTACTTTTCTTAGAATCCACAGAGAGGCTGCTGCTAGTCTGGAGCTAAAATGAGTTTTCACTGCACCTGCTTCAGTCCTGACCCAGGACGCCACCTAGTGTAGAGTGTCTGATAATGCGAGCACTAACTCAAGGGACTTTTTTTTTTTTTAATGGTCTGTTTGAGACAGGGTCTCGCTATGCAGTTCAGGCTTACCTTAAGCTCACTTTGTAGCCCAGGCTGGTCTCGAACTCGCAAGGATCTCCCTGCCTCAGCCTCCCGAGTGCTGGGGTTACAGGCGTGCGCCACCACGCCCAGCTGACATTTTATAATTTAACATAATCAGTATAGGGAATTGATTTAAATCCCTTATCCTCTTTTTTTTTTTTTTTTCCCCCTACCCACAGCTTCCAAACTGTCACTTCAAGGGACATTGATCCAGCAGCAGCTGCCCCAGTGTACCAGGCTCTGGCGCTGAGATTGGGAAGGTGTTGGGACCCTCCACTAGTTAGTCCAGAAGGCTTTATCTGAAGCAACAACTTCTACACCATTTTGAGCTTTGCCCTCTCAGAGGCCTTAGGGCTCTTTTGCCGGAAGCTGGCCGGCTTTATCTTTGCCAAGGGGAGCAGCCATCTTCATTCCCCAGAATCAATTTCAGGACCTTAAGCTTGCCAGGCAGGAAGTCCCTGATCCTAGAGTACCTTTATACACCTGTAAATTTGGGCACCTGTGGCTATTTGCATTTCTGACTTCTTTGTTTTTGACATCTAGTTTGAGAAATCCGGCAGTGTTTCAGGACTCACTGCTGTTTAACTCCTGAAAAAATAATGCTTCGAATTTTGGTCATTACAGTATTCTCAGTACCTAGCACAGGTAAAAGTATGTAACAGATGTTCAGTAAATGCTTGTTTTAATAAGCAGATCTGAATGCAATTTTTAAAGGATACAAAGATAATTGCCAAGAAATCAGTATTTCTGTCTTATTCTACCCCAAACCCTGATAATTGGTTTTTAAAATTATTTTTCTGTGTCTAATGTTCTAAGGTTTTCAATTTTTTGCATTAAGAAAATTAGTAGCTATTTTATCATAACAAGATTGAGTATAACCTACCTAATCAACACTTCTGTGGTGAAACTGATATTAAAGAAAACATCAAACAACTGAATATCCAGGGCAGGGACGTACAGCTTAGTAGCAGTGGTACTACAGCTTGCCTTGCGTTTGTGAGACCCAGTGTTTGATTCCCAGTGCCACAAAAGCCAAAGACAAAGGAAAAAAATTACCCACATCAGCTTGAATCAAGCCGGTGTGCACATGTGCTCATCATCAGGGAGAAGTGTGATAGCTGGGTCTTTTTCCAACCAGTGGACGTCACTAAGAAAAAGGTGGTGTGAGTGTCCTCAGCACCGGGAGCAACTTCCTTGCCGTAGTCCCTCACCGCTGACAAAGTGCATCGGTGCTGAGTTTGTCTCCACTCCCTCCTTGGCCAGGAGCACCTCTTCAGCTGCTGAGCTGACCGCAGCTTGCGGGGTGGGGTGCTGAAACAGCCAGAAATACTACAGACGACAGCCTCAGCCTCTGGGCAGTCTCCCATTATTCTGACCTCAGTTGTCCCTACCCACAGCTTCCAAACTCACTTCAAGGGACGTTGACCCAGCAGCAGCTGCCCCAGGGTACCAGGCTCTGGGGCTGAGATTGGGAAGGTGTTGGGACCCTCCACTAGTTAGGCCGGAAGCCTTTATCTGAAGCAACAACTTCTACACTATTTTGAGCTTTGCCCTCTCAGAGGCCTTAGGGCTCTTTTGCCGGAAGTTGGCGGGCTTTATCTTTGCCAAGGGGAGCAGCCATCTTCATCTCCCATGGTCCTTTCTGCTCTCTGCCTTGTGTGTTTCCTTTCCTACATTGCCCCCAGGCAGTCTGGGCAGGGGTGGTTCAGGGTTGGGCAGAAAAGACAATATATATCAATTGGGGTGGAGCTGCTATGAAAAAGACAAGTTTCTAGTGTTTGCAAGATGGGCAACTTCTAATGGCATTCGTGACCTCCTTAAAGGGCAGTATAGATGAGCACAATGAACATGGGCTTCTCAGACTTGAGTTTGAATCCCTCTTCTACCCTTCATGACTTGAGATCTTGAGAAATTGTTCAACGGTTAATTTTGTGTGTCTGGGCTGGGGATTTAGCTCAGCGGCAAAGTGCCTGCCTGGCAAGTGCAAGGTCGTGAGTTCGATTCCTGGTACCAGAAGAAAAACAAAAACAAACAAATAAAAATTTTGTGTGTCAGTTACATGGGGTCACAGAGTGCCCAGACGTTTGGTAGCACATTCTTGTGTTTGTGTGTGTGTGTGTGTGTGTCTGAGGAAGATTTAACATTACATAGATGCAGCTCATCCAATCCTCTGAAAGCCAGAAGAGACCAAAAAACCTGAGCCTCCAGGAAGAGTTGCTTCCTGTCTGCTGACTTGGAACACTGCTTCTGCCCGGGCCTCAGCTTGCTGGCCTTCATACTGACACTCACCATCCGCACTCTGGGCCTCACTTTGCTCTGGGCCTCGCT